ACGTATGAACAGAACGCTTTTGAAGAGAGCAAGATGTATGATCTCCAATGCAGGGTTGACAAACGACTTTTGGGCAGAGGCGATCAATATGGCCTGTTATATTATCAACCGTTCTCCTTCTGCATCTTTTGATTTCAAAATTCCTGAGAAAATTTGGTCAGGTACTCCTGCTGATTACTCCAATTTAAAAGTTTTTGGATGTCCAGCATACATGCACGTGAATCATGAAAAATTGGAGTTTAGGGCTAAAAAGTGCATTTTTCTTGGGTATGCTTTTGGGGTGAAAGGATACAGATTATGGTGTCCTGATCCCAAATCCCCAAAATTTGTAATCAGTAGAGATGTTACTTTTGATGAATTATCTATGTTATCTTCCAAGAAAGAGTCGTCTAGTTCTTGTACTACTGATAGTACACAGAAGCAGATGGAGCTTGATATTGGCAGTTCTGGTCCTTCTCAATCCAAATCTTCTATTCAGCAAGTGCCAGTAGATGCACATGAGTCTACTGTTGAAGATAGTTCAGAAGAAAAGGAGTATTCCATAGCCAGAGATAGACAAAGAAGAGACATTCGACCACCACAAAGATATGCAAATTTAGTTGCATATGCTTTGTCTGTTGCAGAAGAAACTGATACAGTTGGTGAGCCTTCCAGTAGAGATGTTACTTTTGATGAATTATCTATGTTATCTTCCAAGAAAGAGTCGTCTAGTTCTTGTACTACTGATAGTACACAGAAGCAGATGGAGCTTGATATTGGCAGTTCTGGTCCTTCTCAATCCAAATCTTCTATTCAGCAAGTGCCAGTAGATGCACATGAGTCTACTGTTGAAGATAGTTCAGAAGAAAAGGAGTATTCCATAGCCAGAGATAGACAAAGAAGAGACATTCGACCACCACAAAGATATGCAAATTTAGTTGCATATGCTTTGTCTGTTGCAGAAGAAACTGATACAGTTGGTGAGCCTTCCACCTATTCAGAAGCAGTTTCTTGTGATGATTCTAGAAAGTGGATGATTGCGATGAATGAAAAAATTGAATCTCTTCATCAAAATGAAACTTGGGTTCTTGTAAAGCCGTCGTCAGCTAAGAAAATTATTGGTTGCAAGTGAATTTTCAAGAAAAAGGAAGGTATTCCAGGGGTTGAAGATGTAAGGTATAAAGCACGATTGGTTGCAAAGGGCTATAGTCAGGTACAAGGTGTTGATTTTAATGATGTATTCTCACCTGTTGTTAAACATAACTCTATTCGTGGTTTACTTGCTTTAGTTGCCATGCATGATTTAGAGTTAGAGCAGTTTGATGTTAAGACAGCTTTCTTGCATGGCGAACTTGAAGAACAAATTTATATGAGACAACCCCAGAGTTTTGAGATTGAAGGTAAGGAAGACCATATTTGCTTGTTGAAGAAATCCTTATATGGATTGAAACAGTTTCCAAGACAATGGTATAAAAGATTTGATTCCTTTATGTTGGGTCATGGTTATTTGAGAAGCATGTATGATAGTTGTGTTTATTTTCGGAAGTTAAATGATGGTTCTTTCATTTATTTGCTACTTTATGTTGATGACATGCTCATTGCTGCCAAGAATTTGTCAGAAATTCACACTTTGAAACTGCAGTTAAATAGTGAATTTGAAATGAAAGATTTGGGAGCAGCTAAGAAAATTCTTGGCATGGATATTAAGCGAGATCGAGGAGTAGGGAAGTTGTTTTTGACCCAGAAAAATTATCTTGAGAAAGTCTTGGAGCGTTTTGGCATGAAAGATACTAAACCAGTATCTACTCCTCTTGCTAGCCATTTTCGGCTATCTGCTGCTCAATCACCACAATCAGATGAAGAGAAAGATTATATGGCATGGGTTCCTTATTCCAGTGCAGTCGGCAGTGTTATGTATGCAATAGTTTGTACTCGTCCAGATATTGCACAAGCAGTCAGTGTTGTTAGCAGATATATGTCTTGCCCTGGTAAAGCACATTGGCAGGCTATGAAATGGATTCTCAGATACTTGCAAGGTACTTCAAATGCATGTTTGGAGTTTGGAAGAAATAATAACACTTTGGTTGGTTTTGTAGATTCGTACTACGCTGGAGATCTTGACAGAAGAAGATCACTTTCAGGCTATGTATTTTGCATTGACGGTTGTGCTGTTAGTTGGAAAGCTACTCTACAACCTGTCGTAGTTTTGTCTACTATAGAAGCAGAATATATGGCTATAACCGAGGCAATCAAAGAAGCCTTTTGGTTGAAGAGTTTATTTAGCGAGTTAAGTCTATATCAAGGTGTTACTGATATTTACTGTGATAGTCAAAGTGCCATACACTTGACTAAAGATCAGATGTATCATGAGAGGACGAAACATATTGATGTAAAGTATCACTTCATTGGAGATATCATTGCTGAGAGAAAAGTCCTTATTCAGAAAATCAATACTAAGGACAATCTAGCCGATATATTTACGAAACCTCTTCCAGTTTACAAGTTCAAGCAGTGCTTGGACTTGGTTGGTATTCGTTGTCGGTGACTTAGGCCCATTGGGGCTTATGTGGAGAAGGTGGAGCAATTTTACCATTGTCGATAGTGGAACTAAAATTATGCCAATGTGGAGATCTGTTGATTTGTCAAGCCGCAGCTGTAGCCGCAATTCTTGACTTTGGATGGCAGAATTTTCCATCCCACATCGAATAATGGCAAGGAGAAGTCGGCTGCTGAAAGTTATAAATATAGGGGCCTTTGATTAGTTTCAATTGCACCACTCAAGAGAGTTATATGGGCTATTACGTTCTTGAGTCATCAAACCCATTTAGTCAAATATTTTACACTCTCTTGTTTTGAGTTTAGGAATATTTTCTAAACTTTTTTGTAAGTGCCTTATTGGCCTAAGAACCACTTTCCTACGGCTTTTGTATTTCTTTTTTATAGTAGAAATATTGCTCCTCCCTCGCCCGTGAACGTTGATCAATTTGACCGAATCACGTAAATCTTCTGTGTCTTTTATTTGCTTTGTTATCCTTCTTTATATTGTCGGTTTTACCACTTAATTATTAAATGGCCGGTATCTACCGCCTATCTATTATATGGTCGATTATACCGCTTACTTTGTTCTAACTTGAGTTTGTCTATTTCCTGGGCCAGCCCTAACAATTCTCGCTCATTATGTGTAGTGTATTAGTAGGTTTTTTTGTTGAATTTCCAGGTTTTGGTTACAAGGTGGAGGAGGGGGTCCTTACCAAGCTTTTAGCCGGATTGGATAATTCAGTTACGGATTTTGGTTTGACTGTTATCTCTCCAAAAGTGAGTGAAAGTGGATTCATTCTCTAATTCATGACAATTTGGATAATAGTTTTCGTTCTTCTGTAAAGGACAATTCTTGAAATTGGACAGGAAAGATTGAAATCTATACCAAGAAATTATTCCTCAAATGCCAAAAAAAAAAAAAAGCTATTCAGATGGTTCAGTAATAATAGGCTTCCCTTGCTTTCTCAGCTTGGCCACATTTTCTTTCATGGCTTCCTTCCTCCTCTTACTTGCTAGAACTTTGGCCGTTAGGCCGCTCACATTGGGGTCCTTTTTCTCCTCCGGCGGAGGTGGTGGTGCCCTTCTAGCAGCAGCACTTGCACTTTTTTCAGCCGAGTTCAAGCCTAGCACTGCACCAACCAAACCAAATGCAAGACTTCTGCATGACAGAAAAAACCCCCATGATTCAAGAAGATGTCCATATCCCTAAACTGGTAGTACTTCTTTTCTGTTCCTGTGTCTTTTTTTTTACAGAGAAGTGATGAAAGTAAAGCATTCTTGGAAACTTATACACATAGATTAACTATTGTTAGGCATTGTAACTGAGTCAATCTATCATTTTCGCGTAGATAAGATAGCAAATTTTGCTCAAACCAGCGAAGGCAAAGCCTAAGTGCCACTGAGAATTGGAAAAATCATTTAATAGTTGAACTCCATTTGACAATGTTGAAAAGTTTGGTTATTTCCAACATGCTAAGTTAGTTCATTTCCCTAGAGAAATTCGTGCTTAGGTTTTACTTCTATTTTCTTCTTTTAAAGAATGCATTAACTATCTAAACTACCATCACCAAGACCTGTATTTTTACTGGATATAAATCTTTAATTTTGGATAGAAGAACTTTATAATGGATTTTCTTTTGGCAGTGAAGGAACAGTTGGCTTTCATAACTGTCTAGGCAAAGGCATACAACATACAAGAAATAGAACCAAACTGCATTGTTTAGCAAACCTGCGGTAGAGAAGGTTAGGGCCTGGAGCTTGATCAGAACCACGATGAAATGCAGAAACTCTAGGGAAACTCAGCGACTGAGTAGCATTACTCTGCTTTGATCTCATTGAAATTGGAATTGCTGTAGTTGCTGGTGCTGTTTGGGTTAAAAATGAATGGGCCACAATTTTGAATCACCTGTTAATTATGTTTGAATCCAGATGAATTGACATTTTCTTTTAAAGTCCTCTGTGAAGCACGGAAAGAACTGCAAAATGGATGTCTTGTTACTTGTCTTGAAAATACCTTTTAAAACGCTACTAATGTTTTTGTACAACTTGTATGCAAATTTTTTGCTTTTGTATCAAACTTTGGGCCTGTTTGGCAAATAAGTTTTTAGTCAAGTTTATCTTCTACAAGTTTTTTAATAACTTTAACTACAGTAATATTAAAAAATTTCTCAAAATTTTTAAATTATACATTTCAAAATATTTAAAAATTTACACACTTTAAAAATTTTTCTTACAATTTTTACAGTAAGTTATCGTAAAATTTTAAATAAACACCTAAAAAACTTATTTGTGTGGGACCTTTATTCCCCATAAGTAGTTAAACACGTTAAGCTGCAGAACAGGAGTCAAGAAAGTTGCCATTGGATAGCTGTGGGTCTAAGCAATTACTAACTGTTTACTCATAAACTTGTCAACCATTTTCTCCAACCAAGTCTTCCACCACTTTTTTCCTCTTAGTTTGTTTAGGCTCGCAAGGAAGCAAAATGGCTGAGCTAGCTGTGCTTAGTGCCTCGGTGAAGGCCATTGTACACGGTCCGCTGGATAAGGTGATTTCTTTAGTCAACAAAGAATTTAGCCTGATCTACGGCTTCAAGAAAGATCTTGAAAAGCTGAGAGGATCACTGGTCATGATACAGGCCTTCTTGCGAGATGCTGAGAGACGACCAGTTGGAGAAGAAGCTGTAAAACTGTGGTTGCAGAAACTTGAAGGCGTGGCTTATGATGCCGATGATGTATTGGATGAGATGAACTACAAAATTCTCCAACACAAAGTAAAGCTACAGAAGAAAGTGGAAAGCAAGGTAAAAATCTTCAGCGTGCTCTCAAATCCCTTTTCTTTTAAAAGGGAATTGGCTGGTAAACTCAAGGACATAAATACAAACTTGAAAAGGATTAATTAGGAAGCATATGAGTTTGGCCATCAGTTCCATATCAGAGATGTGGATGCATATTCTGCTGCTGGTGCTGTGTTTTCTCATTCCATAGCAAGAAGCAGAGAGACTGACTCAGTAAGTGTTGATCCTAATGTTCTGGGAAGAGATAATGATAAATCTGATTTAGTGAAAACATTGATGAGATCAAGGGATGAAGTTGTTTCAGTTATTCCCATTGTGGGAATGGGTGGATTGGGGAAAACAACTTTAGCTCGGTTAATATACAATGATGAAAGAATTAAGAACTACTTTGATGCAAGAATTTGGGTTTGTGTATCTGAAAATTTTGATGTAACTAAGCTTTTTGCCATGATGCTCGAATCATTGACACAATCACATGTTGAAGTACAGGGTAGGGAAGCCATAGTGAAAAACCTTCAAAAGGCTATAGGGGTTGGAAGATATCTTCTCATACTAGATGATGTTTGGAATGATAAAGCTGATAAATGGGGTGATTTTAAAAGATCAATGGAAGGGATCAACACAACCAAGGGAAATAGCATTGTTGTGACTACACGTAGTGAACAAGTAGCTTCAATTGTTGCGACGCTACCCCAACATTTCCTTAGAAAGTTATCTGAAGAAGATTGTCTGTCAATATTGAAAGCTAGAGCATTCCCAGGAGGAGAAGCTCCAAGGGAATTGGACACCATAGGGAAGAAAATTGCAGCCAAGTGTCAAGGTTTACCATTAGCAGCAAATCTGGTAGGAGGAATTTTACGCAACAAGGGGAAATCTGAGTGGATGTTAATTTTGAATGAAGGCCTTTCTCAAGTAAATGGAGATGAAAATGGAAGTAGTATCTTGCAAATACTGAAGTTGAGCTTTGATCATTTGCCAACTCCTGCTGCTAAAAAATGCTTTGCTTATTGGTCAATCTTTAACAAGGATTTCAATTTGAAAAAGGAACAAGTGGTTCAACTATGGATGGCAGAAGGATTTTTGTATTCCAATCAAGGAAGTGATGTGATGGAGAAAACGGGGATAAAGATTTTCCACCTTTTACTGCAAAACTGCTAACTTCAAGATGTGGAGAAGGATATATATGATAATGTCATTAGCTGTAAGATGCATGATTTTGTGCATGATCTTGCAAGTTCTGTTTCAAGTGCCAAAAGCAGATGCTTCGCATTGAGCACATTGAGTGAAGCACCACAAAATCTGCTGGAAGAAAAGGCAAGAAATCTGCGCACGTTGTTCTTGAAATATGATGTTTCTCACCAAGTATTGCTAGAGTTTGTACTCTTGCGTGTACTAAATTTGGAGGGTGCAGATCTTGTTAAGGAACTGCCCTCCAAAATCAACAAGCTAACACATTTAAGATATCTTGATGTGTCAGGAACCCAAATTAAGGTTCTGCCAAACTCCATTTGCAAGTTGTATAATTTGCAAACTCTGAGGGCCCTCCATCTACATGGTTCTATCGATAAGTTTCCACAAAATTTTCATAACTTGATCAGCTTGAGACACCTTCATTTTTACTTTCCTGAAAGATTTCAAATGCCATTTGGGATAGGAAAACTGACTGATCTTCAAACATTGTCATGCTTTAATGTGGATCAAGAGAAGGGCCATAGAATTAGCGAGCTGGGGTGCTTGAATAACCTTGGAGGTGAATTGAAGATACGCAATCTAGAACTGGTGAATGATGCAGAAGAAGCCAGAAGTGCAAATTTATCTGGAAAGCCAAATATCTACAAATTGGAATATTACTGGGGAACAAATAGACAAGGCGACAACCGGGACGAAAATGTACTGACAGGCCTCCAACCTCACCCAAATATAAAAAGCTTGAAGATAGAGAACTTCATGGGCAATGAGTTTCCTGTGTGGGCTATGAAAATGGCTGTCAAAATCGAGAATGCATGGTTATTACTTGAGAATTTGGTGGAGATAGAACTAGTCCAGTGTAAAAGATGTCAAAAAATTCCAATGCTCGGGCATTTACTATTTCTCCAGTGTCTCAGATTGCAAGGGCTTACTAATGTAAGAATTATAGCTCCTCCATCTTATGGAACTGATTACTACATTGGATCGAACTGTAGTAGTCTAGGTAGAGCCATATGGTTTCCAGCACTTGAAAATCTCTTTCTAGAGGAAATGATGAGCTTGGTATAATGGATTGATGTTCCAGATATGCCATCTTCAAGTACAACAGCATCAAGTGAAGTGAGCTTCTTCCCTCGCCTCCAAAAATTGATCATCAGGAATTGCCCGAATTTAAGGACCACTCCAAGAAAATTCCGTTGTCTCGCTAGTTTAAGCATAGCGGGTGATGGCAGCATCTTGCCATTGTCAAGCATATGTAGTAATGTTTTCACTCTTGAAAGACTACGCACATTTGGCCTGTCAGATCTAACATGTCTTACAGATTGTTTATTTCAAAACAATCCAAAGCTTGCACATTTTAACATGGGCTATTGCTCAAACCTGACAAATTTTGCTTCAAAATTGTCAGGCTGTGCCAATTCTCTTAAGATATTAGAGATTGAGCACTGCGATAGTCTGATTGAGTTACCACAAGGATTACACACCCTCCAGTCACTTGAGAGACTAACAATAAATGGATGTGGCAGTCTCAGATCTATACCAGTGCCAGAGTGCCAGGGCCAGGCCTTACTTCTCTTTGTAACTGGGAGTTTGCTGGTTGTCATGGATTGACCAACATCCCAGGAGAAGCATTGCAGTTTTGCACCTCTCTTGAGTATCTGTCGGTACAGAACTGCAATGAGCTTGTAGTTTTTCCAGTGGATTTGCAGAAGTTGCCTTCTCTCATTTGTCTAAGGATACGTCACTACCCCAAATTGGATATGGTGCCCATAGGTTTGTGTGGTCATACTAGGCTAAGGCAATTGTACATAGGTTGTTTCTTGGAGTTTGGTTCATTCCAAATCATTTTCAATGGCATTGAGCAAAATCTTTCAACCCTTATAGAACTAGAATTGTTTGGGTGTTCTGACTGGGATTCTCTGCCTGATTAACTTCAGTACCTCACATCTTTGAAACAACTGCGCATAGATGATTTTGGAGTTGAAACTTTGTCCAATTGGCTGGGGAATCTTTTCTCTTTCGAAACTCTGAGGCTGTTCAATTGCGAGAAACTGCATCAGCTGCCTTTCTTAGAGGCCATGAGCCATATGATCAAACTGAAGGAATTTACAATTACAAATTGTCCTCTGTTAAAAGCTAGTTGCATCCAGAGAAGCAACCCCAACAGCCAGTGGTCCAGGATTTCTCATATTCCCACAGTCGTAATGCATTAATTTCTTATTCAGTCCTTACCAAAAGCTATGGCTAATACCTTTGAAACTTTCTTGAACGTTCAGGTGAATGTTCAACTCTCTGAAATTTCCATTAAACTTCTATTTGGTTTCACTTCTAAAATTTGGCTATCTAATTTGTTACTTGGCATGTAGGATTCCTTGCATCTTTGGTTCTATATCGATCGGGGATCAGTGTATCAGGGGATCAGGGATTTTCTGTGCTAAAAAATAATCTATTTCAGGTGATTTCTTGGGCATGGCTTTTATGACTGCAAATTTGTTGAGTAGTAGGAACCAACAATTTATCGCCTCTTGCTTTTGCTGATTCTTATTTTCCATCTATTGCATGTCCTGTTTACCAAGTTAACTTATGACGAAAATCCTGTAAAGATAACCTGGCTAGTTCCTATTTAGCTTCAGGTGAAACTCATAAATCTAGAGAAAAAATGACTGCAAAACATAAAATCAATATCTGTTCTTGATAGTTCAAGCCATAGCAATATGAATCCTAAAAAGAGACACAGCAACCAAGAAATTCTGAAGACAAACACCACAACCAAAGTAAAAATCATGAAATTTCAGTTGAAGTTGAGCAGAATCCATCAGCTGATTAATTATAAGTTTAATTATATCCCCATTTCATTGAGAAATTTCAAGTTCTTTTTGCTTATGTGTGTGATCAGTGTCAATTTACTTTGCTGCAGTGGAATGATTATGTTCACCTTCCAGGGCCCTGATTCATCATGTCACAGGCTATTGGCACACCACCTATTTTGCTCAAATCTCCTGTACAAAATTCAAGATTTGCTCCTTGGTAGAATAGCTTTTATCATTCTGTGATTTTCTACTCCCAACAAAACTCTCAATTACAGAACTTTCTACACTTGCTAAAGTGAGCATGTAATGGCAGGCTTATTGGGAAGCATCGTAATCTGAAATTTCCCAACTGCCAAATGTATAAAAAAAAAAAGAAGTCTCTTTAAAAAATATAATGTTAAAAAACAGCTCAACAACTTGCTCTAAGAAGTACTCTGTTAAAATTCCATCAAACAGCATATCATAACAACTTTATTTCATCTGGCATTGATACAAATCAACAAGCATTTCCATTTTTTTTTAAAAAGCCAAAACAATGTCTGCAAGTATTACTGACTTAAGCCAAGAAAAGAAAAGCTTTAGCATTACATGCAAAAGAAAATATAAGATTGACAATAATTTTTTTTTTAAAAAAAGAGAGGTTACTGATATGATTGTGCCTAACAATTTGTTTAGAAACCACAATAATCAGTTCAAAGTTTGTGGAACCCTTGAAATTAAGCTAAGCTTCATTGTTTGCATATGATAAGATGAGTGGCATACAAATTCTTAATCTGATATAAAAATTTATAGACCTCTGGGAAATCTTAATGGTTGCAACTAGGGTAATAGTGTAAACGGATATTGAATTTCTTAAAGCAATACTGCATTTTCCCGTTAGTGTAGAATTTTTTTTTTAAAGGAAACTGCTATAGGTAGTTGATTTTAAATGTTAGAGTTAGAGTTAGAGTTACAAAAAGGGGACAATTTCAGAAACTTCCTCTGAGGTTTCTGACAGTCTCACTCACCTCCCCTGAAGTTTCGAAATTCCCATCTACCTCCCCTGTCAGATTATTGGGCTCCAAATATGATGTCATGGATGTTGAATTGACAGAAATATCCCTGCTGTTGAAGTAATATATTCTGATAATAGAATGAAATAATTAGTGAAAGTATCAATACATAAGATTAACTAACTTAACTGGAATTTGGATGCAAAATGAATTGCTAATTTCGGTTAAGAGAAAATGCGCCAAAAATAGGTGCCCAAACAAGGCTGTTGATGTGACAATGAGAGTTGACTGATCGTTTATTTGGGTGAGGAATAGACCTTCATCAGCCATACTGAGAATGAGAATAGCATTTGAGAGCTCCAGGAGAAGCGGGAGAGTTGAAGAAATTAAGTTCAAGAAATTGAGGTGAAGTATTGCTGGAAAGGGTGAAGTATTGCTGTTCTGAGAGCATCTGAAGCAAAACAAGGTTAGATACTACGTAGCTTATGGCTGAATAAGAGGTTACTAACCGTGTGGAAACTGAGCATGTCTTCTTATTTTCCTACATTAGCTCTGCGTGTCTGTTTGTGTTATTAATATGATCACCTGACAGTGTATACTGTATTTCTGGTTATATTAGTTATAAACTAGAATGTGTATTCATGCATATGTGATGGTGCTGTTTGTACGAATCATACAAAGTGGTTTGCATGAGGTCAGAGGAGTTACTCTAAGCTAGTATTATATGTTTGTATTCATTGAAGTTCATAAATGGTGATATCTGACCTTGTAGGATGGTGACTGGTGATGTTCATAACATTGTACTCCACTGTGGAAGGATAAAAGTTCAAATTCCTAATATAAATCCTCAAAATTACTCATTCATTAATCTACTGAATGATGTCTCCGAGAAGGTATTACATGAAATGCCTGGAAATGTTAATCTTCTTGTACATATGACATGTGCAATACCTGGAACAGAAGGTTACATTGATGTGAATGATGATGAAGCTGTCCATGATATGTTCTGCGTGTATGAAGGTCAACTAGTTATAAACATAGAGGTGTTCAACATGGACATTATCCCAGCTGAACAACCTGAACACATAGAAATTCAGAACAAACATTTTGCCTTGGCTGATGATGAGTAGAATGTTTATAGAGTTGACAGTCAGGATGAGGGGGGGTATGGGGGTGAATCTAGCTCTGATGAATCATGGAAGCAAGGATTTGATGATGACAATGAGGATGATATAGGTGATGAGCTAATGGCACTGTCCGATACCAATAGCAGTGATGAAGAGTTTCCAGAGTTTTATGATCATGAAATTGGTGAAATTGTCAGATTCTAAATCTGAGCAAGAAATTGACTCTTTAAGAGAAGTGTTAAGAAAAAGATGTGGACTTACAATTCAAGAGAGGACATAGAATTCAAGAAGGGACAGCTATTCACTAATGTTGATGCCTTTAGAGCAGCACTGAAGGATTATGTGATCCAAAAAGGATTTCCCATCAAAAGGCCGAAGAATGAGAAAACCAGGTGTACTGCAATCTGTGATGTTGATAGATGTACTTGGAGGATTCATGCGTCTCCTGTAGCTGATTCAGTAACATTTATGATTAAATCATACACACCTGAACACACATGTGTGATGGATAACAAAAATCGTGAGGCCATCTCTGATTGGATGGCCAAGAAACTGATAGCTGTGATAAGAACCCATCCTCACCTGCCAAGAAAGGGCATTGAAGCTGAGATGCTAAAATATGGTGTGCATCCTAGCAAACAGCAAGTTTATAGAGCCAAACAAAAGGCAAGAGAAGAGATTGAAGGCACACATTCTGAATCATTTAGTAAACTGCAAAAGTATGCTGTGTTTCTAAGGCAACATAATCCTGGTAGTCTTTGTAAGATTTAGTATGATAGACCAAATCTACTAGTTGAACCAAGGTTCTTGAGACTTTTTATTAGTTTTAAAGGACAGAAAGATGGATTTTTAGCTGATTGTAGATCATTTGTTGGATTTGATGAATGTCATTTAAAAGGTAGTTTTGGTGGAGTATTGCTGACTGCTGTTGCATTGGATGCTAATAACAGCATATTTCCCATTGTATTTACTAATGCTGAGGTCGAAAACAAAGAGACTTGGAGTTGGTTCTTTTATTTCTTTGAAGAATTCTTTGGACCATTCCATAACAATTCCCACTTAACTGTAATGAGTGATAGACAGAAGGTATTACTGGAACACTGAGCATGTTAAAATTTGGACAACCAACTGTGTAAATATATGTCTTTCTGCTGACTGGTTTTATTTTTATTGTAGGGGCTGAACCTTACATATGAAGAGCTACTCCCATCTGCAATTGGAAGATACTGTTGCAGGCATATTTGCAGTAACTTCAAGTATCAGTTTCCTAGAATATTGTTGACCAGTTTCTTTTGGCAGGCTGCTAAGAGTTATGATGCAATTGGATTTAGAGAAGCAATGCAGAGAATCAAGGACATGAATATAGAAGCATGGAGGTACTTATCCAAGATTCCAGTAGGCATGCATTCTCAACAGAATTGAAATGTGACCATGTCACAAACAACTTCACGGAATCCTTCAATGCATGGATTGGAGACTTAAGGGGCCAACCAATTCTGACACTTGTTGAGAGTTTGAGGAAAAAATTTATGAAGAAATTGCACAAAAGGTACTAGAAGGCTTGCACATGGACGTCTGCTATCCAAAAAAACATCACAGAAAAGCTCAAGAAAATTGCATTGCATTCTAGGAGATGTTCATTGCAGATGGCAAGTGATGACTTGTTTGAAGTTAGTGATGGTGACATAGCATTGATAGTGAGTTTGAACCAGAAGACATGTGACTGTGGAGCTTTCCAGTTGTCTAGACTCCCATGCAAGCATGCTGCACTTGGAATTATATACAGAAGACAAAAATTGGAGGCATATTGTGATCCTTGCTTCTCAACAGAAATGTATCTGAAGACATACAGTGGCATGATACATCCAATTCCTCACAAGAAGAGATGGCCTCCATTAATTGATATCACACCAAAAACTGTCCTTCCACCACCATTGAGAAGAGCTCTAGGTCGTCCAAGAGTTAATAGAAGGAGAGGGCTTGATGAGTCAAGCCAATCTGTTGCAAAAAGGTCAATTACTATGAGATATGGAAACTGCAAAGCTTTTGGCCATAATACTAGAACCTGTCAAAAAGCACTTGTGAGACAAAAGAACACAAGCAGCAGTGGCACTAACAAGGTTCAGTATAGTGATTTAATTGACAGCATTGAAATTGCTAAACGAGCTTGTAATTTGTTATCAATTTTCATGTCAGGTTACTCAATTTGCTAGAGGAAAGCCAGGAAGCGGAATTGCAAATATAGGGCTTGCAGGATCTGTTCTATGGGTTACAATTCTTTTAGATTCAGATACAGAATTTTCCTATGATGACAGGCCCCAAATTTGCTAATGCATAAGTGATTTCTGCAAGATCATGCTGATGGCAATGTGCATGTTGTGGTTTCTAGTCAAGGCAGCAACCCAAGTCCATCAACTCAAACACCTGCAATGAATGCTGACTTCAATTTGCAAACAGCAACGAATGCTACTAAGAGAAAGGTATTTGTTCCTTAATCCCTTTTAATTTCGGTGGCACTAATTTGGCTAATTTACATGCCTGTATATTAATACTCCCATCTACCAAAATTTCAGAGAGGGCGGCCTTCGAACAAATCCACACCATCTGCTGCATATAACCCCAAAACGAAAACTTCTACAGCAGCACCTCAACCAATTGCAGTTGAGCATACTGCTGCACTACATCCCAGTGGAAGTGCTCAAGTGCAAACAGTTGTCAACATCAATGCTTCAGCTTCTCATGATTCTCACAATGTCAGTAGCAACTTCACCTTTTAGTAGTATCTGATTAAGAGTCTTTTGTTATTTGGATGTCAGAGGACATGAATATCTGATCATGTGGTATTAACATTGGAGAAATGTGATATCTGATCTTTTGATGATCTCATTTTGGTATCTGAAAATTTGATATCTGATCTTTTGGAGAAATGTATCTTTTTGTATGAAACTGGATACCAGAAGGTGCCATTTGGCTGTTGTACATATAAATTCCACATAACTCAAAGCTTTTGTATCGCAGCAACTAAGTAGTATGAAATGGTTTCTCAACGGAAACTGAAGTTTCATTTGCAGTATTACTTCTAGACTTGGTTATTGTGTAATCAATGCTTGTGGTATTCAATAAGCAAAGCTGGAAGCTTATGTGCATAATCTGGTTCTTTACTATTATAAACCAGTACTCATTTAACCTCTTTTACAATCAACATAAACACATAAATAGCTAAAAATACAAGGTTCATTATAAGCAGTGCCATCACTATGGAGTTGGACTAGACAATGTTGCCAATCTGCACTTGATCTTCTCTTTGTATGATTGAATGTCTTTATGCTCTTTGGCTGCTCACTTCATCATCTTCAGACCCTTCGAACCACTGAAAGAATATCAACATAAAAACGTAAATAGCTATGAATAAGAGGTTCATTATAAGCAGCTATGGAGTTCAACTGCTCTACTTTGGCAAACTGCACTTGATTCTCCTTTTGCATGCTTGAACGTTGATCTGTTCTTTGGCTGCTCACTTCACCATCTTCAAACCTTTCGAACCACTGAAAGAATTTGCAATTTGAGTAGCAAAAATATAGCTTGTTTGGATTCCTTTTGCTCTCAGAAATTTTAATGCTTGCTTTCCTATGACAATGGCAATATCTGTTTCTTATTGAAAATGAAGTTGGAGAATTCCATGATGAATCTACCAGGCTTGAAGCTGCCATCTGCATCTGTTTGTAGCTAGTTCAGCTTATACTTGTATGAGCACTTTTGCAGAAATCTCAACCACAAACCAGCTTCTAGCCAAATGCTTTCTGTTGCAACTCCAGTGGGCAATTATATAGAGCTCCAAAGCAAGACTGCTCTACTTTTTACCGTTACAAACAAGGCCACAAAGAGCCATTGGCATGAAGCAGACAAAATTTCTTGTAGTCATCCTTGCCTTAATGCAAAGTTTCACATACACCCCCTCAAATTTCAAAGGAACTAGATAGCTTTTGTACTATTCAACATAAACATCCTCACTAATGACAATCTTGAGGGTAGAGGTGAAATTTCTTTATTTTCTCTCTCCTGATACATATTTTATATTCATTGTCAACCTCAATTGGGGTAAATCTGATACTATCTACTTAGTTTTAAGGAAGGTAGATGGAAATTTCGAAACTTCAGGGGAGGTGAGTGAGACTGTCAGAAATCTCAGGGGAGGTTTCTGAAATTATCCCTACAAAAAATTATCGACCAAATGCTCTAAAATAATATATAAAACTCAAGCTACTGTTTGGTTTTACAGTTCCTCTTTTTACAAGCAGGAGAATTGTGGGATTTAAGAAGCAAGAAGGGAGAATGTGGAATTTTGATCCAAGATTTCTAACTTTTCGGATAGTTTTATGGATCATTAAGATATAGTCTTCTAATAAGATGTTGGAATGCTATTAATTCCCCAAGCTCAGTACACCATATAGAAGGCGGGATGGGAAATAGGCAGTTTTACATCTATTATTAACATTGGATAACGAACAAGCTCTAATCCAATTTTGAGATGGAAAACTATATTCAAAATCTCATTAACTTTCAATTGTATTATCTGCTGGGGACGACCGCTCCGAGAATTCCTTCCACATATTCCTTCATAATCCAAAGATGTGTATAGTGACATAACCAATAATGTCATTTCTCCATAGATCTCATTCATCAAATTAAGGCCAACAATCTTCCCCTTTATAAGAAATATTTCCCATTTTTTCTTTTGGAGCTTCCAATTAACATAATAATTCTCCCCAACAGAACGACTTGTCCCAACAATCTTCAATAATTTTTCAAGAACTCGTGTTTCTACTATAAACATCAAAGCTAAGTTTGCCCCTTCATGATGTTACCATAATGACGAATTTGGAACGTGTTATAATCATCCTGTAGTGACTCTAGAAATAAATTATTAAGACATATTTGGAAAAATGTGGAAATCAAGGCTGTAAATTGAAATTAAAAAAAGTTTATAGGACTATTTGTAGTTATTTAAAGGGCAAATTTCACTTTACCCCCTGTGATTTAGCATTTTTTTTATATAACCCCCCTATGGTTTCAAAAGTTATACATAACCCCCTTATGGTTTGGATTAAAGTGTCAAAATGACGAGAATGATCATTTATAACGGCTTCACCTAAAATATCAAAATTACGCTTATGTAAAGTTAAAAATTATTTATTAACCAAGGGAGGTTATGTGTATATTTTAAAAATTATGAGGGGGTTATATGGTAAAGTATTAAACCATAAGAGGTTATATAGTAAAATATAAAAATTATACGGATTTAATGTGTCATGTATTTATAAGGGTAATTTCGATATTTTTAGAAGTTCCATTACGAGTGACTATTTCCGTCACTTTGACACTTTAATCCAAACCATGAAGGGTTATGTATAATTTTTAAAACTATAGGGGAATTATGTAAAAAATGATAAACTACAGGGGGTAATATATAATTTACCCTTATTTAAAACACTAAAGGGCCAACAGCAAAAAAAAACAGAAAAGTTTTGGGCATGATTGTAAGTTTATCGCTTTTATGACCCTTTTTAAGGCAACTTCCAGTTTTCACTTCACTTTCGTTCTCGTCGCCGTCGTCAAGTTCCGATGCAGGCCACTTTCGTTTCTTTCTTTCTATATTTTTTTTCTTTATTCTACTGAAAAAACAGAAGAAAAGTTTCTTTATTTTTTCTTTTTGGGTAAGTAGAAGAAAAGTCTCTTTACTCTCTTCTTTCTTTCTTTTCCTCCTCATTTGTTGTTTCGTTGAAACTTGAAACCTCCTCTCTCAAAGTAGTAATCTAAATTGGAAAAGTATAATATATTCTCTACTACCCGTCTAGTCTGCCTATCGCACAATTGAGGAGGAAGAAGAAGAAGCCCTTTTAAAGGTTCCAGACTGCAGGCTCCCAGGTACTTTAATGTTCTTCCAACAAGTTTAAATTTCTTCTTGGTTCATTGATCGCTCAGACATTTACTAGTTGTGAATATAACTATAAAACAAAAACCCAAAAAATAAAAGTTGACTTTTTTTTTTCTTTTGAAATGGTTGAGTTTTGTATGCAACTGTTCTTTGACCTTGAAGTAAATCTTGATTTGCATGTGGGATTTTATTAATCAGCAGTATAGTGGATTGTCTTGGTTTGTTTTAAGCATATAAAAGTTTTATCTTTGAAGATTTGATTGCTAATGTTTTCTTAGCTAATTGGAAGAGTTGTTGCTGTAGTTAAGAATGCCAACTCAAAGAAAACCTGAGGAAATTGTCCCAATACTACTGGCTCGTCTGGAAAAAGCTAAGCAATTTGTAGTAGGGAGTATCAGCGAGAACAGTGAGGGAGACCCTCTGGTTTTGAAATTCAAAGAAATCAAGAATGAACTTGGCAGCATGAAACGTTTGTTCCCCAGGATAAAACATTGGGAAGGGAAACTCATGGAACAGTTCAGAACTTTGGAGCAAGACATCGATGATGATGTTTTCTTTAAACAGCATGACGAGGCTAATGAGATTCTTAATAGATTGGAGCGCATCAGTGAGAGTGTTGTGTCTGTAAAACAGCTATTTTCGGTAGTGGAAAGGCAGCTAATAGATAGAACACGTACGATGCCTTCTTCTGGGATGCAATTCCCTTATGAGGAGGCTTTTAGGAAGGATCAGACAATATCTGAAGAGTGGTTGAGACTTGGTGTGGAGGAAAAAATTTATGCCAGCAAAGCAATATCAAATTTTCAGAAAAGTTTTGACTGTCTGGAGAGCTATCAATTGAAAGCATGCTCCTTGTGCCTTTCAATTTTCCCTGAGAATAGCATCATAAAGAAGAGACCCTTATTTACTGGTGGATAGGAGAGGGCATGGTCACTAACACCTCAGAAAAGACTGCAGAGGAGGTTGGAGAAGATGTCTTTAATGAATTGATAAATGAAAGCTTCACAATCCCCATATTTGAGAACCTTTCTCCCAATATAAACACTTTTATTGTGCACCCTTGGATTCGAAGAATGCTGATCTCGATTGCAAAAAGACTTAGCTTTTTTGAATTTACTCCCTCAGGGATGCCTAGCAATGGTCATCGTCGTGCATTCTTATTGCCGGGTGGTAGTGATTCATACAGTACAATGACCGAGGATACTCTTATGGTTTTCAATGTAAATGATCAATATCTTGGATTTAAACCTGACTGGCTCTCAAAGTTGAATAGGGTTGAGGTTCTTCAGTTGGGCCGGTGGCAAAACTCTGTCAAACATCATATTGAAGTGGAAAATAAAGATTTGACAGTTGAGTCGAAGAAGAAAAAGAAAGTGGAATATGAAGTCTCTTTGAATGGTTTGGGACGTCAGACATCCCTAAGATATCTAAGTCTCAGAGGCGTTTCTAGATTGACTAACCTACCTCGTTCGGTGCTTAACCTAATAAGCCTTGAGATCCTTGATTTACGTGCATGTCACAATCTAGAGAAACTGCCTTCTGATATATCAGCGCTGAGGAACCTGACTCATTTGGATTTATCAGAATGTTATCTGCTCGAAAGCATGCCAAAGGGTATTGAAGAGCTCTCTGCTCTTCAAGTACTTAAGGGCTTTGTGATAGGAATCGTCAGAAGAAATCCATGCAGGGGAAGTGACCTTGCTGACAGGTGCCGAACCTGTGTAATAATAATTATCTACTCAAGACAAATACAGATTTTGTATATAGCGGTGAGTAGGATCGAATCCACAGGGACTGGGGATAATTCGTTGCTTCTAGAGTTCAAAGTATGGGGGGGCTTTTGGATTAAATGCTAACTACATAAATTAAATGCAGAAAATAATTAATTGACAAAAATAATTGGGAGAACTCTAACCAAGAATACACTTCAGAAATGGTTCATGCACTGATCATCGATGCATAGGTAATTCCACATTTATTAATAGATTGGTTATAGTTGTCATGTACGCGATAAACAACCAACCTTTCCTTAATTTTTCGATAGTTAAAGTACGACCGTTAACTATATCCCTAACCCGGAAACAACCCTAGGTACGACCGTAGGATTTAATTTCTAAATGGCATTAATAATTAGAAAGGCCCAATCCTAACTAACAAACACACTACGAGGGTTTGTTTAAATTAGATCGTATGTTTCCCTGACATAAATCCAATTATGCCAGTTGCTACCGGGGCGAAAGTAATCGAACAATTACGGATTCAACTACCCCCAACTAGCAAATAGCCTACGTGAATAATTAAATATTGCGCACCTTTTCAATTTTACACGATAGCTATACCAACAATTAAAAGCAGAAAATATACAAATATCAATAAATGAAGAAAATAGTTAAAATAATTTAGATCTCACAGGCGTTGGTGAACCAAATCTTCAGTTGTCTCCTTGACTAGAAGTATAAAATTATTGTAATGAAGCAAAGTACAGGAAGAAGGAAGGCGTGAAGTACAAATAGAGGAAAAGCGTGATCCGGCATGAAGTGGGATGAAGAAGACGTGAGTTAAGCAGAATGGTCACCAGCAGTTCATCAAAGAAGACGAAGGCGTGAAAGCAAGAGAGGGAAAGGCGCGAAGAGACGCGAGAGGCGTGAACTGGGAAACACGCCTTCCCTGGGTTCATGCCATTCTTGCTGAGTTTGCACCAGACATTCCAGAAGATTCTCCCTCACATGCATTACCGTTTTCATTAGCAAGTGGGAGGAGTTAGTTAGAATAGTTTTTCTATAAAAAGGGGAATCATGTATTTTGTTAGATATCAGAATTGAATTGTGTAAAACAGCAAGGAGAATATCTTTGTTACTTCCTCAAGTTATTTCCTGCAATCTTTCTCCCCTTCTTTACTTTTTCCGCCATTTCTTAATTCTGTATCTTTGAAGTTTTCTTCAATAAAAAGTAAGGTCGATTTACGAATTCATCTTAGCTTGAAATCCAGTTTGTATATTTTTTGGATTAATTCCAATTATCTCCAGTTCCTGCATCATTTTTCAGTTCTGTACCACAACAGTGGTATCAGAGCTCGATCACGAGCCATAGGGATGACAAAAAACCAGGAGGAAGCATTGAGGAGAGACGTGGTAGAGTTAGGAAGTGTGGTCAGGACTTTTTCCAACAAAATGATGGGATGGAGCAGGCCATCAGAACAATGGAATTCAGACAAGATGCTACTGAAAAACTGCTCAAAGGATTGGATCAGAAGTATGAGGGGATGATGAATATGATGGCTCAACTGATGGCCAAGGTTAGCGATCGAGGGAAGGAGCTAGAAGGAAGTAGCAGTGCAAAGGGAAAGGATAGGCCAAACGAATCCAGGATGGATTTGCAGAAGGAAACAGTCAGCAAAAGAGATAACAGAATTGGTGGAAGACTGCCTAAAATAGATTTACCAATTTTTGAGGGGAATAACCCCAGAGAATGGATCCGGAAGGCTAATAAATATTTCAAAATACATGAGATAGAGGAGAACATGAAAGCTGAGGTAGCTGAACTCTATTTCAGGGACAGGGCTGATATCTGGTTCCATGGGGTCTTCCATGGGAGGGAAACCATTTCATGGACAGAGTTGTCCACTGGTATGAGTATCAGATTGGAGAGGGGAGTCCAGAGGAGGCCATTGAGGAATTCAACAAGTTAGTGCAGACTGGAACCGTAGCTGACTACCTTGAAAAATTTGAAATGCTTAAAGCCCTGGTAATGCCCTCCTTACCTCACTTGTCTGATTCATATTACAAAGCATGCTTCATGAGTGGTCTAAAAGAGGAGATAGTTAATATGGTTAAAATGTCCAAACCTGAAACCTTAGCTGTTGCTATTGAAATAGCAAAACTCCAAGAGAAAAACCTCAAAGCTATACAGAAAATCCAGAAACCTACCACTACCAACTTTAGCAACCATAGACCTCCCAATAAAATGACCCCAACCCCCAGATGGAACCAAAACCACCCAAAACACACCAACCAGAACCAAGACCAGAAAACATCCAACCAGAACCAGTTCAAAAGAATAACACCTACAGAATTTAACCTGAGGAGGGAGAAGGGGCTATGTTATAAATGTGCTGAACCTTATACTCTGGGCCATGTATGCAAACAATCACATGTGCATTTCCTGTTAGCTGAGGAGGCTGAGACTAGGGAAGAGGCTAGAGAACCAGAAGAGGAAGTTTACTGTGATTGCATTAATGGGGAGCTGACAGATGAACACATAGAAGTATCTATTCATGCTTTGGCTGGGGGGACAAGCCACAGGACTATGAAATTAAAAGGACTTGTGAAAGGGAGATTGGTCACTGCATTAATAGACAGTGGAAGTACTCACTGTTTTTTGGATGAGCAACTGGCAAAGGACCTTAAACTGGGTACTCAGGGACCAAACCTGGTTGTCAATGTTGCTAATGGGGAGAAGGTGAATTCCAAGGGACTGGATAAACCCTTGCAGTGGGAAATGCAGGGTCATCAGTTCCAACATGCCTTCAACACATTAAGGTTGGGGGGCTGTGACATGATACTTGGGGTAGACTGGTTGGCCAAACATAGTCCAATAGAGTTTAATTTCAGAAAACTCAGTATGAAAATCCACCAGGGGAGGCAGGAAGTGGTGCTACAAGGGGAAGGGGACATCATCAAGCTGAAGGGACTCAATGGAGGAAGGTTGGCAAAATGGTTGAGGAAACAGTCATATGGGGTGGTGGCTCAGCTGGTGGCAGTAGAAGAAGAGGGAAGTGCAGCACAGCTGCCTGCTGAGATCAGGCAGATACTGGAGCAATACAGAGATGTCTTCGAGGAGCCTAAGGGAATGCCTCCAACCAGGGGCCATGAGCACCAGATTAACCTTAAGGAAGGAGCCAAGCCTTTTCAGGTAAGACCTTACAGGTGCCCCTACATCCAGAAAACAGAAATTGAGAAACTGGTAAGGGAGATGCTAGAACTAGGCATCATACAGCCTAGCAGTAGCCCCTTTGCCTCACCAGTACTACTAGTTAAGAAGAAAGATGGGACATGGAGGTTCTGTGTTGATTACAGACAGCTAAATGAGCTTACAGTAAAAAACAAGTTCCCTATGCCTCTGATTGAAGAGTTGATGGACGAATTGCATGGAGCCAAGTTTTTCACCAAAATTGATCTGAGGGCAGGATACTTTCAAATAAGAGTCAAAGAGGAGGACATTTCAAAAACAGCCTTCAGAACTCACCAAGGGCTCTATGAATTCAAGGTTATGCCATTTGGCTTAACCAATGCCCCAGCAACTTTTCAAAGTTTGATGAACCAGGTCTTCCAAGATCAGATGAGGAGGCATGTGCTGGTGTTTTTTGATGACATCCTGGTCTACAGCTCAACACTGGAGGAGCATGTGAAGCATGTAGAGGAGGTAATGTGTATCTTAAGACAACACCAGTTATATGCTAAAATGAGCAAATGCTCGTTTGCTCAAATGCAGGTAGAATACCTAGGACATATTATAACAGCAGAAGGAGTTCAGGCTGATCCCAAGAAGATAGAATGCATGGAACAATGGCCCAATCCAACCAATATCAAACAGCTGAGGGGATTTCTGGGACTGACAGGTTACTACAGAAGGTTTGTTAGAGGCTATGGTGCCATAGCAAGGCCACTGACTAATCTGTTGAAGAAGGACAATTTTCACTGGAATAAGGACTCAGAACTGGCTTTCCAAACACTAAAGAAGGCCATGTGCACCACTCCTGTTTTAGCAGTGCCTGATTTCACTCAACCATTCATAGTTGAGACAGATGCTTGCTACTCTGGTATAGGGGCTGTACTCATGCAAAACAGGAGACCAATTTCCTACCTCAGTCAAGCTCTGGGACAGAAGAACATGGGATTGTCCATCTATGAGAAAGAGTTGCTAGCATTGGTGACAGCAGTAACCAAATGGAGACACTACCTAGAAGGGCATCATTTCATCATACATACTGATAATCAGAGCTTAAAGTACTTGCTGGATCAGAGGATTACTACACCTCTCCAACAGAAATGGCTCACTAAGCTGCTAGGATTGAGCTACGAGATTCACTACAAAAAGGGAAAAGATAACCTGGCTGCAGATGCCCTATCCAGACAGGGCAGAGAGGAAGTGAGAGTGTGAGAACCCTGAAAAATGGATATATAAGTCGGTGCATATTTCATTTGCATTTCTTTTATTGTTCAATAACTTCTAGCATTACTTTTAATTGTTCACAATTAAGTGTATAAAAATAGGTTCACGTGAAAAATAATATAATTTTTTTCAAAGTTATAAAATTTCTTGGTAGTGTTAGACTAAATGAATACCTTTAGGGTTAGATTAATTTCTTCGCTTTAAAATAAAATGTTAGAATACTTAATTCCTTTATGCTAAATTAATGATAATTGAATCGTTAGATTTACTATCTTAAAATAAATTAATTAAAGTCTTATGATTGATTTCAATTAGTTGCTAATGTTCAAATTTATATATTAAGGTCAAACTTGATTTTAATAGAATGATTAATAAAGAAAGGATGTTAAGGGTTAATAGGAACCTTAAGATTTGATTGTAATCGATAAATATGTTTCTAATATATTAAACATACTTAAAGCGTGAAAATTCGATAAATATATCCTTATCCTTCTTTGTTTTCAAATGAGTGCGTAAAAATAATTTTATATGCAAATTGACACCCTTGGATTAATCATTATTTCACTAGACTTTATATTATTATTTAACCACTAAATTTCGAGTTAGATTAACTCAAATTCTTGAGAAATAATAATTGGAAATTCTAATAACTAATTTAATCGCTAAATAAAATAAGTATTACTAGGAACCTTAATATTCAAGTTTAATCGATATTTAATCGTTAGAAATGGTTTAGGTATATTAGTATATATTTAGGCGTTTGAATCACGCTTGGGGATAATTTTTAGAATTAAGATGGAATTGAGAAATTAAGTTGAGGTTAGGGAGTAAAGTGAAAAGACTAAAATACCCTTACCTTACCTTTCCATGCAAACCAAACGGAACTTCTGACCTCAAATCAAATCACGCAGCTATTACCAAATCTGTACGCAAACCATTCTTACACGGAACCTCTGTTACTTAAACAACGGCACCACTTATACTATTCTCTCTATTTCACGTCTCAAACCACAACGCTTCTTAATACCTCTCAATACCAATTCCTTCTCTGCACAAGTAAACCACAATATCAGTCTCTTCATTTCACATCTTAAAAACCACGGCCCCACAATATTTTTTTTTTGTTCATACTACCGAATCCAATTCATATCATAACCCACGAAACCATTCACTCTAGTTCACCTTTCATGCCACAAACATAAACCCTCTGACAAATTTCCATCACCGCACCATTCGACCAATAGGAACTTGCACCCTTCCTACACTCAAATCTCATTTCAGCCGTATACCATTGCCATCTCTTATCCGCCCCAACTCACCCAGTCCGCAACCAAAACCACTGCTCTACTACTCTGCCTTGCTACCAACGACCAAAGGAGAGAGCGAGAGAGGGGAATCCGCGAGCTGCAAAACAGATTTTCTGGTTTTGCCCGTTAGTTGAAGGAAGAAAGGGAGAGCTTGTGCGTGCGTCTCCTCTGTTTGCTTTTCAACATCCACCAGCTGCAATTATCTTCATCAGCTACAACCAAATCCAATCGCAGCTTAGGAGCCAAGAACCAAGACTGCACGTGAAGTCGAGAGAGAGAGGGAGCAGAAATTTTTCAGATTTTCGTGTGTGATCTTAGCTTGCTTCGAGGTAAATTTTCTGGACTAAAAATGGATGATCAGAGGTTGTAATGATGTTTAACCACCTGAAAACAAGATGATAAAGTCATGCGTGAAGTTAAATAGCCTGGATCATGCTAGAAAATAAAAATGAAACAGAATCTGCTTCATGCAAGCCATCCGAGAGTAGTTGCACAAATTTCTGGAGTTATGGATGAATTTTTGTTGTTGTCAAACTGATTTCTGATCTGGATATGATAGCTTTTTAGTTCAGCAGTTGTGCATGTGAGAATTAAGTGCAAAATACAAGATTTAACCGTAGAAAAAAAAATGGTTTGTGGCTAAGCAAATGCTTGAAGAATTTCTGGTTTGGCCGAGAGCTTAGTCCAAATTTTTGTAATTTAATTTGGTTTAGTGTTGTTGTTTAAGCTGATAACTATAATTAGATGATTAATAATAAGTTAATTAGGCTCTGCATGTAATTAATTAGCTAGTATAACACAGAAAAATAAAATAAAAATGCAATCGTAGCTTGTATGATTACCGAAGCTAGCTATACAGAAATTCTGGAAAATTTTGGGAAATTGCAGCTGTTACTTAAGTTAAATTTTGAATTGGAAATATCAATTAGTTAGATAAGTTTTTGCATGATTAATTTGGGTATCTAAAAAAAAAAAACTATGTTTAATCGAGGAAAAATTTGATTCATACACACATAGGTGCTGGAAAAATTCTGGATAGCCGAGAGGTGTGAGCAGAAATTTCAAATTTGTTTTCTTTGGAATTTTAACCTATTTTTGGATTTTCCTTGGATTAAAATGGTTTAGTAATACAGGGAAGTTGTAGGTTTTAAGTGGTATAAGTTGTTTAGCAATAAAATAAGTGCTAAATTGAAGTTGGAACCAGAAATGTTGGGTTACATGCTGGAAATTTCTTATGTGATCGTCAAAGGGTGAGTTGGAACCTTAACTTGACTTTTAAATTGTTCCTTGAATCATGATGGATGGAAATGCTTGGAAAATGTTTTTTTGAAATTCTATAAGAAGTGTGTGGATGGTTGAAATAAAAACATTTTGGTGTTAAAGAAGTTTTCACAAGTGAAAAATTGAAATTTCAAATTTTCAGATGCTCCTGACCAGTTCCAATAAACTGTTTATATCTTGGTGTAGGAAAATCCGTTTAAGGCGCCGTCAATGGCATTTGAAACTAGAATCATAGGCCTTTGTCCTGTAGAAATTTCGTATTTTTCCTCCATGTGTACGGCTGTCTGTGAATCCTCAAAGTGGATTGTTTGTGCGAAGGTTCTGTTTCTTAGTGAAACTAAAATTTGGTTTTGGATTGAGATTTTAGCTTACTTGTGGTTTAAATTCTTGATTAAATTGTGGTTGGAAATAATTGATGTTGTCAAGGGCTAATGATTGATGAAGCCCTTGGCCATTTGAATGACTTTATACGTACTACTGGGTGTTGAAAGTTAATTGCTGGAATATTGTGAGGCCTTACTTTTATTTTTATTTGCTTATGATGGGTTTGCTGAGACCAAGTGCTAATGATTGATGAAGCCTTGGTTGTTCAATTTTATTTTATCAGAAATGCAATTGTTGAAATCTAGGGCTAATGATTGACGAAGCCTTAGTAATTTGCTATGTGATTTTTGCCACATTTTGATCCCTAATATTATTTCGAAACGAAAATCGTAGCTATGGAAGTCGTTTTACCTCGCGAACTCGAGTAACCGTGATCAATTTAATCAAAAATATTATTATTATTATTTTTTTTAGCTAGTATTAAATTATAAAACTCATATCTAGTATTTTGCCTAAAATTTTCCAATCCGATAAATTCCTTTAGCTCAAAATTAGCCATGATAGCTATAGTGAATAAATTCTATAGCTTTTGAAAACCCTAAGTTTTATATTAATTCCTTTTCTTTCTTTAGGCTTTACACTTGGATAATTAACTATAGGAAAAGTTCCAAAAATACAAGTTTTACTAGTTTTAGTGAAAAGCATGGGAAACTTGCTCGGCAAGAAACCTTATATTTAAGTAAAATAGTTAAGTAACCATTTTTGCAAGAATCATAGTTTTAAAGAAATATTCAAAGTAACTTCCTAACATTTATATTAAGAGGTTTGTCGACTTATTCCAAGAAAATAATACTAGATACCCTTTTATATGGAAAAGTATCTTAAGAAAAACTATAATAAACATTTCTTCTATTTTGTCAAGTTTTAACCTAAAGAAATTCTGGAATTTTCTAAGGGAAAATAAACTAATAGTATAATTGATATACCTCGATGCCTATAAGCTTAAAAACTGCGCAGAAACTTATAGTTTCAAAAATTTAGTTTTTAGGATATTGCGAGGACGCGGAATTCGAATTTCCACTTGATATCTGAACTTCACTCTTGGTGAGTGTCCCTGCCTGTTCTATTCCTACATGGTTAAGTACCTTCTTGAAATTAGATGTGATAATTGCAAAAATTGGTTTTGATCCATCGAAGTGAGCGGTGTGTACTTTATCACACTAGCCGTTCGAGTGGTGACTTACATGAATCATTTTTCTCATAAATCTAAACGCAGTTACGTCGTTGGGTGAGTCCCTCGACGCATGAATCTGACTGCATGAATCTATAAACCTAAATGTAGTTACGTTACTGGGTGAATCCCTCGACGCATGAATCTGACTACAATAAATAAATCGTTAAACCTAAATGTAGTTACGTTGCTGGGTGAATCCCTTGACACATGAATCTGACTACAATACTGTCGTTGGGTGAATCCCTCGACTTCTGTATCCAACTACCTTGACGGGTATATCTCGAGTATACTACGTCTTTAGTCGGTGAGCGGGCCCGAGACAGAGGTATGAATGGTGAAGGGTTAGGAAATAAAATAAGAGTATCTACATGGACCTTAAGTAGTGAAAGTTGACGGAGGGTCAACTACGATAAATGGTGATCAAGTGAGGAAAATGGCTCCTGAGAGTCCCTGTATCCTACCTTGTGCTGTTACACGCTTTTCTAATTGTTTAAATTGTTTAAATTATTATCCGTTGTTTGCTTTAAGTGACTGCATGTTTTGGGGCACCACTGAGCTTTAGCTCACCCCACGTTTATTGTTTTCCTTAACAGGTTCTGGAAGTTGAAAGTTGGAACATTTGCTCATGTTTTTCCTTCTTAAATGTACTGAATACTATGACTTATTTTGTGGGCTGTAATGCGTTTAAATTTGGATAATATACTTTTGTTTTTGGATTGCCACTTGAAGCTGGAAAATGTGTAAACTCTAGTTCGATTACTTGGCTTGTAAGTTTGTAATATGGATTTATGTATTTATCTATCTGGTTTGGTACGACTTTATAAGTTGGTACGTAGTACGTA